AGAGCTACATAGGATCTAATCAGATCTACTGAAAGCTCAAGTCCGAGCGCGAGAATCTTAATCTTATAACTTTAATTTTCATACACACTTAACACCTACTAAGAGTACATGTAATCTCGTGCATTGGTGAAAAATAACCCACGTTTTAGAATCATGGGTTATTTCATGGGAACAATAACCCACGTTTCTAAAACGTGGGTTCTTTATTTGAAAAATAACCCACAAAATAACCCACAAATAACCCAAGAATTTACAGTCATCTGGGTTGATGGAGAACCAAGGATGTTAAGTATTTTAGTCATTAACATTATTTAATCACTCCTGTTTTTAATTTTTGAAAAAAGGCCCAGCAGATTTGTGGGTTTTTCGTGGGTTAACCCAGGAACCCATGTTTTGGAATCATGGGTTATTACATGGGAAAAATAACCCACGTTTCTAAAATGTGGGTTATTTATTTGAAAAAAAAACACGAAATCATGCCCCCAATATTCAATTTCAATAGGGGGTTACGCGCGCGTTGGTTCTGGAGGGCCCTAAAATTGGCTCGCTAACGCAAATAGTTTCTTCAGTGCAAAAACTAAGTTAGTGCCAGTAAGGTTCAAGTTATACTCTGAAAAGAATATGTAGTAGAAGCTATTGAATGAAAGCAATGTGGCTGTTTGTTGTTGTTTCTGAAATAGGAATGGAAATCATTGATTTGTTGTGTATGCTGGGTATTGTTTTTGTTGGTGTTGTTTTTTGTAAGCAGAAGAGGTGATAATGCAAACAGACCATTGGAAGAAGTTTTAACTCTTCTTCTTGTTCTTGAAAGCACAAGAACATAAATCCAACTGCTTGTGTAAGACTGACAAGTTGAAACCAACACATTCCAAAGGTTTTCCCTGTAATTTGTGAACAATTCTTGCATTGGCAATATTAATTGAGAATTGAGATAATTGGATTCCCTTGTAACTTGTTGAGTTTGATTGGTACTGATTCTTGATTCAGACCCATGTTCTTGCAGACATCAAAATGTTACTGTTGCTGCTGCTGTGTTTTGAGAAGATAAAGTAATCCCTTTTTTAAGTCTCCTTGTTCTTCAAGGACTACCTCCATCCATTCAACTTTCATTGCATCTACACCTTGAACATAAAATCCATCAATGTTGATGTTTCACAATCATGGTACCCATTTTTCAGTTTGACAGAATTTAATGTACTATGCATGGATCCATTTGCTTTTGACTTTTGAACATATATGTTGTCATTGAACATGACAGGTCTACCAACATACAATTTACTAAGCATTGGATATACTAGTAGCCTCTTGGAAGATTTGTTTGTACCTGCAACAATNTTGTCATTGAACATGACAGGTCTACCAACATACAATTTACTAAGCATTGGATATACTAGTAGCCTCTTGGAAGATTTGTTTGTACCTGCAACAATGTCAGCATCTGATGTGGTGGCAGTTACTAGCAAGCAGTATTTCTGAAATTCTGGTATGTCTCTGTATTTTCTTTTTTGTGTATCTACAGTTTTAGGTTTGAGGAGGCCTTGAATACAATGSTGGTGGGGGTGTGATCTGGTAATCTCTTGTTTTYATTCTTTGAATGTGTTGTTTTGAGAMACTCAGAAAATATGCCATCATTATTGCACATTTGTTGGCATTGCTGTATGTTGYATAAGCAATATCTTCTGGGAGATTGTCCCAAGGTTTACAAGTCTAGAATTGATGATTTGAACATGCTCTTCTTTTAAGTCATTTATTCTTAAATCATCAAGAAGCTCTCCCCAGATTGGATCATCTTTAAACCTGTTGTTTGTTTTTAGTTCAAGAAATGTGTTGGTTTTCCTCTCCAAAGATGGAATTTTTTTACAATACTAGAGAGTCTCCTCCTATGGATTTGAGCTGATTGAAGTCATGCACCTRCTTATTCTTAATGCCAGACTGACTGATCACAAAAATAACTGAACTTGTGAATCTTGGGAGGATTTAGTAGGTTATTCTCTTGCATTTTGGAACAGCCAATCACAAACTTGACTTACAAGTATTTATTTGAGTCTTGAGAGCAGGAGTTTCGCTCTCTTGAATCTTGGAATGACCAATCGCAAATATGACTTGATTTTTTGAGTCTTGCTTGGGGGCAATTTGGTTCTCTTCAATACTGGAATGGCTAAGTATTGTCACCTTAATGACTGATTTTTTAGTCTTGGGAGCAGTTTGGTTCTCATAAATACTGGAATGACTGATCCTGATGATAATGACTGATTTTTTKAGTCTTGGGAGCAATTTGTTTCTCTTAAATACTGGAATGTCATGTTGTCACAATAATGACTAAATGTTTAAGTTAAAAATGAATAATCTGTTTTTTTCAAGGTACTAATTTATTTGCAAAAATGGCATACTAGGGTTTACACAAATCCACACTAAAAACAAGTTTCTTTTTCTTGTTTCCTCAGTAAGTCCAGGGCTGGTGWAAGGATTCTTCAAGGTTGTTGCTATTGGCTACTACTGGTGTGCACTAAAGATAKTAGTGGTAGTCCAGTGCACTGTAGCCAACTTCTTTAGAATTAGAGAGTGCTTACTACTACTAGTAGTACTGGAAAACCTCTAGTAKTAYTACTACTRCTTGCTAGTRGGGATGTAATACTACTAGTGAGCACTGCAAACTGCTGGGCAAAGGGGGTTGTTCTGTTGCTGCTGTGCCAACTACTGTACAGGTACTTAGTACAGTAATCATGGAAGTCRAAACATTAAAAACAGATTAAAATAGTTTTGACTGTAGTAATTGGTTCTCAAAGAGGAAGGGGGGTCTGGGGGTTGGATTTTCAAGAAACTTTCCGTAGCAATCTTTTTAGTGGTAGCCAGTAGGGTTTTAACTATAAGAAACATTGTAAAACAATAAAGTTATGGGAATGAGATGCCAGCTTAAAATGCCGGTGACATGTGACTAAATTGAAAATACAGTGCTGACACCTTTGACTTCAACTGCCACCAAAGCAGACCAATTGAGATGACAAATACTGAGCAGTACGGTACGTACTCACAGCGATCATGATTTTGAGGGGTAAATAAACATAATTTCCATGATAGTAGCTACCAGTACTACTACTAGTAGTACTACTACTATGATGAGTTTCACCTCAGTACCAGTATCAACAGCAGTAGTAGTGATAGTAGTAGTGATAGTAGTAGTAGTGATAGTAAGAGTAACAGTAAGAGTAACAGTAATAGTAATAGTAACAGTAGTAACAGTAGTAGTAGTAACAGTAAGAGTAGTAACAGTAGTAAAACAGCAGTAGTAACAGTAGTAACGGTAGTAACGGTAGTAACGGTAGTACTGATAGTACTACCAGCTAGTAGTACTAGTACTACTAGTAGTATCATGGAAATTATGTTTATTTTTTGAAAGTAAAATAGTACCACAAATATCAATTTAATATCCAACAAAATGGTATATTCAGAATCAGCATTAAAAACTGGACTGGCTACTCAAAAATTAAAATACTAGTAGTATTTTTGATAAAGCTGTAACTGCTCAATGGTTGGATAGTTTTACTACTAGTATTATGCAGTAAAAATGAGAAAGGAAAAAAATCCTTGTGTGACTTTTTGGAAATTTGGAACTAAGGTGGAATATGAGTGGACCATTGACCCATTTTCTTGTTTTACAAATGACATAAACTCATTTCCTTGCATATTTCCGTTTTTAGTCAATTGTAAACTCATTTCCTTGCATTCCGCCAATTTGTAAATTCATTTCCTTGCATTCTCTAAGTAATCAAAATTCTACCGTTAAATAACAGGAAAAACCAATGCATCACTTAGGAGTTTGACGTTAAACAACAGGAAACTACCAAATGCAGCAGTGTTGAAATACTACAAGACAAGAGCTAACAACCATGGTGCTCCTTGCAATACAAATAAAAGAATGAAAATAGGAGAGATAGTATTGGTACTAGTGTTTTATATCCCCTCTGTATTGTATCGTATCGTATCGCACCATATCATATCGTATCGTATCGTATCGTATCGTATCGTATCCTATCCTATCCTATCCTATCCTATCCTATCCTATCCTATCCTATCCTATCCTATCCTATCCTTTCCTTTCCTTTCCTTTCCTATCCTATCAGCAACTCGTATCAGCGTCCTCCATATGAGCAACTCATCGTCCGAGTCCTCCATATCAGCATCTCCGTATCAGCAAGCGTCCTCGCTCTGTATCAGCATCCTCCATATCAGCAACGCTCCATGTCGGCATTCCGTATCAGCAACGCTCCATACCAGCGAGCATCCTCGTATCAGCATCTTCCATATCAGCGAGCCTCCGTATCAGCGTTCCCTATCAACGTTCCGTATCAGTGAGCATCCTCGTATCGGCATTCTCCGTATCAGCGAGCATCCTCATATCAGCGTTCTCCGTATCAGTGAGCATCCTCCTCTGTATTGGCGTTCTCCGTATCAGCATCCTCCGTATCAGTGAGCATCCTCTGTATCAGCTTTTGTATCAGCAATGCTCCGTATCAACAGCACCTCGTATCAGCAACTCATATCAGCAACTCTTATCAGCGACTCGTATCACCAGCGTTTCGTATCAGCGACTCATATCAGCACAGCATTCTCCATATCAGCGTTCCGCATATCAGCGTTCCGCATCAGCATCCTCCACGTCAGCAACCTCTGCATCAGCAACCTCCGCACCTTGTAAGCATTCCCAGCGTTCCATAGCATCACCACCAGCGTCCTCCAACCATTGTGGTTCTTGGTCTTTTGGTTGTTGCTTTGTTGAATTTATGACTGTTTTGTGGTATTGCGTTGTGGTGGTAGCATTGGTTTTTCCCATTGTTTATCGTCAGAATTTTGATTACTTAGAGAATGCAAGGAAATGAGTTTTGCAAGTTTACAAAATGGCAGAATGCAAAGAAATAAGTTTACAATTGACTAAAAAGGGAAATATGCAAGGAAATGAGTTTTATGTCATTTGTAAAACAAGGAAATGAGTTTAATTCTCCGAATATGAGTTTCTCTTTTTTTCTCTCACACTTCGTTATGCACAAAAAATTCGATGTGCACCCCTCTAAATTATGACCCCTGCGTACTCGTACGTGCTTGAAGACATAAGTGAAGAACATCCGTACCACCGTAGACGAAGCAAGTCTTGCACAAGTTGTTTCGTAAAGTACGTACAGCAATACGTTATGTAATTTTCTTCGTCGGTAATGATCGAATACATCCGATGYCTGTCATGTTCTCATCATAAACATAAAATGCTCAATATTTTTGTTGCCGTTATGCAATATCCGTATCTTTGATCGTCATACTGTATCGCAAACAATARCAACAGCCATCATGGAGAAGACTCTGGTGTTATCGATCATTGTTCTGATCATGATCAACATCACAGATTCAATAACGAGTTCAATTGTTGGGCCATCGCTCGTCTTTTACGTAACAGAAATGGGAGGCACAAAGGAGGAATATGGAATGATCTCGAGTTCTTCCTTTCTGAGCGGAATGTTAATGATGTCTTTTTATGGGCACTGGGTCGACCAGAATGGAAACAAGTATAAGGCCCCATACACGGCAAGCTTTATCCTGGGCATTCTAGGATCGCTTATTTATTTCTTTGCAATCGTGATGCCCAAAGGTAGATGGGCTGTGTACACGATCTTGATGGGACGGCTGGTGACAGGGATGGGAGCTTCTGGCCGAACCCTAGCATACAGCTACGTCGCAACAGCGATTCCMCATGACCAGCAACGAAYGACGCTAACGGTTATGAGCATGACCCGGAGTTTTGGAATGCTGCTCGGACCCTTGATGAATCTGCTCGTGTCCGAAGTAGATACATCTGTTGCTGTTTTCGATTGGYTAGTGGTGCCTATAGATAGAAACAATTCGGTGGGATTAATTGTTGCCTTTGGTGAGATAATTCTCCTCATAGCTATGTTTCTTTTTTTGACAGATCCACCGCCTAGGGAGAAATCAGCATCGAGGGTGTCTTCGTCGTCAAACACTACAGAGGAACAATCCAAGGCCGGATTCAGAGAGATTTGGGAGGCAATTGCGTGCTTCGATTTGTTCCTTCCGATGGCAACGATGTTTGTCTTCATGTTCAATTTTCAATTGTAAGTACGAATGTCTTTCGTCTTCATGGTTTTTCCCTTTACATACAATGATATCGTTGTTCCCAAATTTCTCACCTGTTCTACCTCATGATTCTATCAGATACGGTGTTGCCATCCCACCCGTTGGCTTTCATGCGCTCGGCTGGGACCCGGTGCAAATCTCAAACGTCCTGGCTGTTCAAGCTATCTTCTTATTTGTGGGCATGTGCGTCTCGATGTACCTGTCCCTAAAGAAGGCACCGGATATTTACATGATTGGCTTTGGCAATCTGTGTTTTATTGTTAGTGGAACATTTACCTACCTGTTCTGGACGGATGATGCCATAGCATGGCAATTTGTTCTGCCTGTGTTTACGGTCGCCTTTGCGTATCCCTTTTTGGGCCCGGCAAATCGATCGAAGTTTACAAAGGCCGTCCACGGTCGTCCGGAGTTAGGAAACGCACATGGGGTGATGCAATCTCTCTTCAATCAGGGCTTTATGCTTGCCGGTTTCATCAGTCCAAACTTTGTGGCATCTTATGTTCTTCGACGCCCAGAGGATGTTGGCTTAGATGGTAGCAGCGATCACGAATTGACGCCCTGGGCATGGTATATTCCTATTACGTCAACGCTTATCATAATTGGTCTGCTCTACGAAGAATTCTTCCTTGAGAAGAATGAATTGGGAYTTTTAGCTGAGAAGGAGGAGATCCCAGCGTCCGAGACGAGTACCTTACTGGAAGCAAAAGGAACAGAGAGCAAATACAAATCTATTGCAACTCGACGGAGGTCGAGTGTTGTCGAATGCACCCAGGCATTTTCGAGAGAATTCGAGGTTAATCGGCGTGCGTCTGTTGAGATAAACGGAATTCCGAATCCCTTTGAAACAAGCGACGAAATCCAACTACGAGACAGACTCTGGAAGGACAAACAAGAATGGGAACACCTTCAAAAGATTGATGCTGCGTTAGATGAAACTGAAGGGAACTCAATGAATGGATGAAACGAAAAATCATGAGGAAATACCATCGCAACTATATGATGAATTCATTGATGAATTCATTGTTAGAGACGTTCTGATTTGCAGATTTATGCTCACGTTGTGAAAAACCAAATCTATTTTTTTTTCCTGGATGAAAAGTGTTGCCTTAGTAATTATCTAAGACAWTAATGACGTTGTACGATCGRAGAATTTTTTAGGGTATCATGAATTTTGACAAACACTCATAGTCTWAAAWTGATGTAGCGTCGAACRTCTCTGGCGTCTTGGAACGACAGGTGACATACAACAAAATTTTGTTTTTATTTCCCATGAAATGGGAGGAAAGATTTCCTATCCCTATACATCAAATTGAATCGACTCATGGAAACGAGCCCAAAGGTATGCAGGTCTCCGCCCAAGWCTTCAATTTCGTCACAACCACAATGGCGGCATCCGCACCCCCAGGTGTCGGGAGGAAATCAAGGACGATGTCACTTTTTACAATTTTTTCTTGCTCGTCTTGTCTCCCGTTCTCTTTTTCTTTTCCTTCTTCGTTTTCGCCTTTTCKTTCAGAGTGATGTCTTTCTGAGCTACGACTGTAAATTTCAGAAGCTTGCATTCCAATGCACGGCCAAAACTACAAGTAGGAGCCAATTCTTTGTCTGTGTACACGGTCGCGGAAATATCGTCGACGAGAAAACCATAACGAATGGCTTCCTTCAACAAGAGTTGATGGGAGTCCTTGCACCGTTCTTGGAGGCAAAGAAAGATTACGGTTTGTGAATGCGACAAGAATTGCATAGTTTCTAGCATTGGCAGAACAAACCGAGTAGAAAAGACAACATCCGTGCCTACAATGCAATCGATGGAATGGGCGTCAATTCCTGCTTTGGAGCAATCGTGTTCGTACCGTGTCCAATCCAATTCATCGACCGACACGTGGTGAACTGCTTTCTTMTTACTCTCGCAATCATCGCCGTTGTTGGGAGATAAACAGGGATAATTCTGTTCCAGGTTGCGCTGCAGATTCTCCATGACCTCGTTGGTTTCCGTGAGAATAACGCGAGACGACGATAATTCGATCCTCTCGTCGCCGCCAATGATGCCCAATTCGAAGGCCTTGTGAAGGGAAAGACCGAGCATTCCACATCCTGCACCTATTTCCAAAATGGTTCTGGATTTGGTCTTTTTGGACACTGAACCAGCAAGAGGAGTAGAAGTACCTAGCCATTCTTTTGACGCCAAYAGATAATTCAACAACAAATACGAGGTCTCCCACACAATTCCACCCGTGTGTGTTTCGGCTGCACCCGAAACGTCCTGCTGGATTGTGATCGAACCGCTGTTCGGTGCTGGTGCTCGTGGTTCTTTTTGCAGCCGATAACACACCGACGGCGCGTTTGCCAGTTCGAAAAATACGTTCGACACGTCTGCATCATCGCCACTCTCGTAGCCGTTGTGCCCAACACTYKCTTGGTTGGAACAATATTCGTCCCAAATATCTTGAAAGCACAGGCCTAGTGATTTCGTCTCGGGTGTGTCACCAGTCGAGGTGGCCGTCGTTTTGGTTTTCTTGTTTGAGGAAGATGAAGATCGTCGTCTCTGTCGTTGTCGTTTCCCCATACTCTCAAATCGCTACCTCCRATAACGTTTCGATCACTCCATTCTGTCTCTTCGATTTCTGGAGTATTTATTCTTGCCTTGCCTTTGTGCTCTACGGTACCATCGATCACTATCGTACGGTATGGGAAGTCCTGATGTATCCGAGTCGTGGTTTTTCGATGGCTGATGGGCATGGCAGGCAAAAGGAAGGTTTGAAAAAGTTGTTCCTAGACTTTARATGGCTTCTAAAATTCTACTAACCGTACACTGGGGGGATCCGAATTTAGGGATGGTCGATTTTCAGGAGTCTATCTGCCCCCTTTTGTGGTTCTTTTTGTTGTGGTTGGCGTGCTATTGATTCCGGTAGGTATCCAGACGCTCATACCGGTACTACTCAAACTATGACACGAATGAACAAATCATCCAGTGTCMAGAGACGATGACGAGAATTAYCTTTACTTACTTTTGCCATCAAATACTGATAATGATGCTTGTCAAAGGCGAGACATCGTTGTTAAAAAGTAATTTTTTGGTATCTTTTTGTTTAATGCACATAGAAAACACTGATAGACAAGTCGTGTATGTCTCGCGGAAACGCAACATCGTTTGAATTCCTCGCAACGTTTTCTACAAACCAAGRCGCTTCAGTATGTTGTAAACCCATCGGAACTTCCCGACGTCTTCGTAATATACTTCTGCKGCCATGGCTTGCAAGGCGAATGCGTAGGACGGATAGGGATGAACCGCCTTGGCCAAGCCCGGGAAGCCCATTCCAGCGTTCATGGCGACGCTGATTTCGCTGATGAGCTCTCCAGCAACAGGTGCCATAATGGTCGCACCCAGGATTTTTTTCTTGCCTTTTGTGGAGTAGACCACCTTGATGACGCCCTTGGTGGCATCGTCGCAAATGGCCCGATCGACCTGGTCCAGTCGTAAGCTGGAAACCGCTACCGAACCTTCTCCAAATTCTTCCTTGGCGGCGGATTCTGAGTATCCGATGGTAGCCACCTCCGGRCTCGTGTAAGTTGTGGTTGGAACGTCGTTTCCAAGCTTTCCGGGGTCGGTAAATGGAAGGAGAATATTTCGAGCCGCTACCGCCCCTTGGTAGCCTGAGGGAAAAATGAAAGAATGAAAAAAACACGTTGAGGACAACATTCACCGACAGACCATTGGTAAATTCTTGTTTATGTGCTTGTGCGAAGACCTACCGGCGTAATGTGTAAATTGCTTGTCGCCCGTGCAGTCCCCGGCCGCATAAATCCCGTCGACCGAAGTCTTTAGCGTATCGTCCACGGCAATTCCCCCCGTCTTGGGATCGATTTCGATCTCCAGCGATTCCAGGCCAAGTCCTGCGGTGTTTGGTTTTCTGCCGATCGATAGCAGCATGGCATYGCCTTCCACCGGCACAGGTTCTTTGGTGTCAGCGGTCTTGACGTAGGCAACATGGCCAAGGGGTTTCGTCTCGCTCGCGTCCGCGCCCGATGGTTCCACCATGGACAAGGTTCCCCGAACTACCCTGATGTTTTCGTCCTGTTCAAATACCTCTTTCATCAATACGGAAACTTCCTCGTCGTCCACGTTGGGCAGCAACCGTCCAGAACTCCCGGTGACGATCGTTACGGAGGCTCCTAATCGAGACAGGGCCTGAGCAAGCTCGCAACCGATGGGGCCACCGCCGACCACCGTCCAGTGATGGGGCAGTGAATCGTCGCCTCCAAACTTACGGGTCCAGATCTCTTCGTAGGTTAGGTAATCAATGTCGGACAGTCCCGGAATGGCAGCTGAGGTCGGGCGATTTGGTTTCGCCCCCGTACACAATAAAATTCCTTCCTTGGCTTCGACCGTTGTGGTTGTTGTGGAGGACGTCGGAGACGTTTTCTGAAACGACACGGATGTTGGAGATGTTAGGTKAGCTTTTTGGCCTTCCACCGTCTCGATTCCGAATTTTTCCAGAGCCTGCGGTGAATCGTCTTCTTSGTAGATTTCTTCTTGGACACGCTGGAAGTAGTCCCGTACTTTGCTGAAATTTGCACGGCTTTGGCTGCGGTGGTCGTCGTCGAGTTTGGCGTTGTCGTTTCCTTGGGGGTGTTGCTGAATGGCATAGCTGCGCGCCATTTTGGATGCCTTTGCCCKGGAGAGCAAGGATTTCGAGGGGACACATCCCGTCCAGGTACAATCTCCACCCAGGCGTTCCTCGTCCACAATCAGAACTGACTTTTTCAATGTGCCGCTTGCAAACTTGGCGGCCGTGAGTCCGGCAGAACCTCCCCCCACGACCACCATGTCGTACTCGGTATTGCCATTGCTGCTGGTGCCGGCAACGAACCGCGTCCTKCGGTCGTGGCTCGATCGCTGGTGATTCCTTTGCGAGGTGCTCTCTGCCACCGGCTGAAAGGCATCCACCATAAATAGGGAAGACGAGGTCGGTTGGTTTTCCTCAATGGTGCAGAAGGAACTTTTCCCCATTTCGATAACGGTTAGAACGACAAGGACAAGGACAACCGTATCCGCGACGTAATGCTTGCATTTGCTGCTATAGCGCTCCCGCGGTGATTGCTTCCSGMAACGTTTTTTATCTAAGTAGTGTCCACTCATGGTGCAAAGTAACGACAACGATCTGTTTTTGTAATGGTGGTTCGTGCTTGCTCACTTTGTGGCGTTCCTCTTGAGATATACGGCCCTAAGCTTGTGAGTTGGATAGCGAATGGAAGAATACCGTRCAGTGGCGGATGAGTTCTGGATGCTCTGTCTGGTGCCTGTGTAAGATCACTGCTAATTTGTTCTTGTCTGGTGGGAGGACGAAAACCATCAAATCTACTACGGAATTATCGTCGAAGTCGAACCATACTGCATTATTRATACGTGTTTGTGACGACGATGGTGCTTGTGCTGATTCAAAACAATTCCGTAAAATCCATCAAAAAATAACATCTCATTAACGGTACCACAAGCWCGACGCACGGTAATCTAAATAGTTTCAGCTACGTACTAGCACCAGTTCATGGTACGAGTGCACGAGTCGAGCACGAAGAACAAGTCAAGAGGTCGGTGTTTCCAAATAAATATATCCTTCTCCTCTATGTACGGTACCGTACGGTACGAACTTACCTTCTGCGTTACATTGAGAGATATGCACGAACGAATTGGAAAATGATTAGAAGTACTTGGAAGTAMACTGTAATAAACAAAAAACATCAAAAATTCAGTGAACTTTTTCRTAACTCAATTTGCCAGATGGGTGATTCCCGGGACGTTCCGAAACGACTAATTTCCACGTACGCTTAGCTACCAGATCTCCGACTAGTTGGACTATGGTAGATTGTTGCTGCAACGCAACACCTCTTGTAAAAAATAGGGGGTTACGGGAAACTATTTAATAAAAATTCGTTTTTTTTGCTACCAGAATTCGACTACAAATCGACTAGAAAAGGAATACAAATCTGATTTAAATCTGATTGATATCAAATTGATACCTGATTTAAGGTCGATTTTTGGTAGCCTTCCCAGATCCCCCCCATGTATAATTTGTACTAGACCCGCAGTATGGCACGTGCTGATAGGGCTACCACATGTTGACTATATATCTACCAATTATCAACTATGTTTCTACCTTAAATCGACAATGTTTTTACCATAAATCTACCAGGAAACAGCCAGAGAAATTGGACCTAAATGAAAATAGTTTCCTGGTGGGCCCCCTGTTTTTTAATATAGGGGTTGTGTTGCAGCAACAATCTACCGTAGTCAAGCTACTTGGAGATCTGGTAGCTAAGCGTACGTGGAAATTAGTCGTTTCGGAACGTCCCCGTAAACATAGAATCTATGACGACATACTTTGCGTCTACTAGTACTACTATGACTTAATGGGAATAAGTATGCAAAAACAAAGAACCATAGATATTGAATATTATGGTGCACTACATGTGCTTTATTTTGGAACAAGGAATTTTGCTTGAAATTGACTGAAAATAGTAACTGCATTCTTGCCAAATATTGAGAACACATCATGGTGCCAGCGAGCACAATCGAGGATTCCAAAAAAATCTATGTGTGTGCATACTTTTTGGTTAGTAGTGTGAGCCTGTCTGAACCAAAAATCTATGTATCTCCATATAAACCTTACATTCCTGAGGCATTGCAACTACTGGGCAGCAGGAATAATAACTGTGATCACTCGGTAAGAGGTCAGGCAACATGGGTGATAATTTAATTAGATAGATACAACATGCATGCTT